AGCATCTTCCTTGGAAAGTGATGTCTCCGCAGTTAATGTCGCTTGTGTGTGACATCATAGCTATTATATTTCTAGATTTGAATAGTTAGAAATAATGTAGGTGAAAATGATAAGAAATTTTTTAGAAAAAAAGGAAATTTTTATTTTTATTTTATTTATTAGAAATCATAATTAATTTCAAAATTTAGATAAAAAAACTGATTATATATATAAAAAGATAATGATACCCTTAATACTCTTTACATGAGGTAAGTTACATGGTTTATTTGTTTAATATAAACTAAGAAAATATTATATTTTTTAATTGTTGGTATGTTTAAAGTTAAAGAAAAATACTCCTAAAAAATAAGATCCTTGTTTTATCAGGTTAAAAAAACTAACCATTCTAATATTAATATAAAAATAAAAATAAATTGTTTTTTATTTAATTAGGAATATATTCTACGTATAAGTTTATAATTCTATATATTAAAAAAAAATATTGGTATTTTTGAAATGCATGCCAAAATTCTTTGAAATTTTACAGATTTGTTGTAAAATATATTGTAAAAGTATTTAAGATTTTTAAAATAATGCTCAAATTATTGTTTTTTATAATTGATTTTTAAAAATTCTCAAAAGTAATTATTCAAGAAAAATTTGTTTTTAAAGTCAATTTAGACTTTAATTAGGAAAAAATTAAAGTTTGAGGGTTTAATAACACTTTTTAGGAGTTAATTTAGTTAAATCAGTGGTTTAATTGTATAAATATTGAAGTTTAATAGACAATTAAGAACTTGATTGAAGAAATTCAAAACCAAGAACCAAACTAGAAAAGACGTATGAATATAAGAACTGAAATTGATCAAATCAAGAGCTAATTTGAAGTAATTGGAAGTTTGTTAGTCAATTAAGAATCAAAATGTACAAATTTAAAATTAAAAACTAAAATAAAAAAGACAGTTAACTTAAGAATTGATATTTGAGTCTAGCGGGTGTTAAATTACATGCAACTAAAAAGTTTTTGTTTCACTTAATGTTCATGAAATATATTAATTAAGCATACAACGAATGTAATTTTGGTTTGTTTATGTGGCTTTAATTTAATAAGATTAATTACATTTATCAACTTGTTTTTACTAAATAAATATGTAGAATAATAATAATTTTTAATTTGAAAATTAGATAATATTTATATAATCACAATACATGATACATGTATTAACTTTAATATTTTTGGATAAAAAATAAAGTACCATGATAAATTATTTTTTATCAATTAGTATCTACGTTAATAAATTAATAATATATCAATTAATTAATTTTCTATAATTCTAATAGTATTAATTTGTAGAAATTTAACAGAAAATGTTTCAACAATTCCAAGTAATTTAGAAGTAAAACTTATATGTTTGATAAATAGCCAGCACCTTCGTTATAGCAATCTTTCTTCTTGATCAAAGCGGCTTGTATCCAATACCTATCTAGTACTTGGTAAGATAATGTAATTAATACTTGTAAAAGGTTAATTTTTAATGGCTTTGAAAACTCTTTAATACTTAAATAAATATTTTTTTTAAAAAAGATAATGATGTTTTAAAGAGAGATGCTCTGAAAATATATATACAGTAGAGAATAAAGATTTTGAATCATTTATTTGGATAATTTAAAGGGTATTTATAACCCTTAAATCTTGTTGTTTTGTTGAAGGGATGGAGAGTTTCTTCCTCTTATTACTACTAAAAATATCACTACTAAAAATATCATTTTTATCAACATTAATATTGATAAAAATAACTCTTACACAGTATTAATATTAATAGAAATATCTCTTATACAATATTAATGTTGATAGGAATACAACAAACTCAGAATATTTTCATACAATATTATTTTGCATACATAATATTAATGTTGCTAGAAATAACTTTTATATAATATTAATATTGATGAAAAAAATAAAAATTTTAAAATTTTTATATATTTAAAAATATATGAAGAGCAAAATTTAAAATGTAGCTTTTTCTCGAGGCTAAGCCTATGAAAGCTCATTCTTTTTCTAAACTGAGCTTTTTCTCGAAACTTAAACATATAGGCCGAGTTTAAGGTGTTGTAATCTTTTTCAAGGTTGAGCCAAGGAGAATTATACCCACACACGTTGTTGCCTGGGTTTTGAGGGCTTTAGATTTAAAGCTGGACGTTAAATTTAGGTTTATCATGAAATTTTCTAAATCAAAAGCTATTAAACAACTCAATCAATGTGAACAAGTTATACCGAACATTCATTTGGCCATATGCTTTAACTAAAAGTGTGTACTACAAAAGGACACTTGAATTGCAACACCCAGCAGGAAGACAAAGTTAGCAATATCAGTATCCAAACCATTCTGCAAATTCCGCATCATTACTCCATCAAGAAAAAAAAAAATCAGACTATCTTGCTATCTTCAGAATAATAAGGAAGATATCAAAACTACTACTAATAAGAGTTCTTGCAAAATCGATGCATTAAACCTGTCTTCGTTTCTCTTTGATGACATCAGCCCTATTAACTCATGTTCTTTACCTTTTCCAATTTGGATTAAGAGTCTTAGTGGACTTAAAATTCAGGAAAAACTAAAAAAAGACTTGCTGGGGTGAATCAAACAACATGCTTGGCTTAGTATTGGTTGGGCAGCAACATCAAAGTTAAAGTAGTTTTAATTTAGTATTTCCAAATTGTAACTGGGGTTAACCAATTCTTTGTCCTGGCCTATTGGCCCTTTCATTTCCATTGAGAATCCCATATAATTATCCAATTTATTCTTTGATATACAGAGAGGTCAAAACTGGAGGCTGGAACGAGCCAACCACCCTGCGTCATCCATGGAGAGTGATGTTACACCTTGGCTTTATGATGATTAAAATAAGTAAAGTGTCGTAGGACACATATATTATGTTTGTTGAAAGACAAATAAAGATGCTCCAACAAATCCTAACGATAAATTCCATGAACTACTGAGGCGGGCAATATTGATCGTGTCGGCTAACTTGATCATCAAGTCTTCAAGTCCTCAATTAAAAAAAAAATTGATAAGAAAAAAAAAAAAACTTCGCTAGCTAGCTTCACTAGCTTATAAATATGGCACTACTTTCAATATTGTGATCGAAGCCAAGACACCAGGTTGATAACTAGAAAAATGTGGACTGAGCTAAGCGCTACCATATCTAGTCTAGCGGTTGCTTTCTTCATGTTTGAAAAATATTTTAACTATTTTCCTTATACAATTCGTGGGTATGTTGAAAGAAATTTTCGGAATGTGGTTAATTTTGTGAACCCTTATGTCGAAATTTCTTTCCATGAATTCACAAGTGAACGCCTCAAGCGTAGCGATGCCTTCTTTGCCATTCAAAACTATCTCAGCACCAGCTCTACCGAGAATGCTAAGAGACTCAAGGCTGATGTTGTCAAAGACAGCCAATCTGTAGTCCTCAGCATGGAGGAATATGAAGAAGTTACCGATATTTTCAACGGGGTCAACGTCTGGTGGGCATCAGGCAAAATGCCCCCCCAATCAAAATCCATTTCTCTGTTTCCTGGCTCTGAAGAAAAGAGGTATTACAATGGGCACAAAGAAGAAAGATGAGATCAAGAAGGACCTTTTCAAGTTCAGCAAAGGCAAAGACTATTATGCAAAGATCGGAAAGGCTTGGAAGCGTGGTTATCTCCTATATGGTCCTCCCGGAACCGGCAAATCATCTATGATTGCTGCTCTGGCTAGTTAATTGGATATGATGTCTATGATATCTAATTGACAACCATTAAGGACAACAGCAAGCTGCGGAAGCTACTCAATGAAACGAAAGGGAAGTCTATTGTTGTGATTGATGATATCGCTTGCTCAGTTGATCTCACAGGTAAAAGGAGAAAGATGATGATGAAGCAGACAAAGAGAAGGATACAATTTCCAAGATGAAAAGGGAGGCAGAAGAAGAAAGCAAACTCGGTGGTAAGGTTACTTTATCAGGGCTTTCGAACGTTATTGATGGGATTTGATCGGCTTGTGGTGGAGAAAAGATTATTATATTCACTACCATGTACGTGGACAAACTCGATCCTGCTTCGATTAGGAGGGGGAGGATGGATAAGCATATAGAAATGTCATATTGCTGCTTTAAAGCATTCAAGGTGCTAGCCAGGAATTATTTGGATATTGAATCGCATGAATTATTTGGGAAAATCGAAGAGTTGTTTGATGAGACAAAGATGTCCCCAGCTGATGTTGCTGATAATTTGATGCCAAAGTCTGACGAACAAGATGAGGAGACTTGTTTGAAGAGATTGGTTGAAGCTCTTGAAGCTCTTGAAGTTTCAAAGGAGGAAGCTAGAAAGAAATCAAAAGAAGAAATGCTGAAGACCAAGGATGGAGTAGTCACTGAAGGTTAGGACAGAATGGAACCGTTTGGGATATGAAGCAGCTTGGTTGGATCACAGTGTTGTTGAAGTGAAAGCGTATTCTATGATGTCTTCTGTTAATTAGTATTGTATAGTATGGTTTCGCAGTCCAGGATATTTGTTCCAGTAAATGAGTGTCATGTCTTTCTCTTGTAAATCTGTAAGACTGTACATGAGAAGTGGAATTGGGTGTATTATTAATTATATAGTATGATATTGCAATAATCTCATCTAGTTACCAGAGTGGTCTCCTTTCGTTGCATGCTTGTTTCTTGTACCTTATATTTCTAATCTTTTCAGCTCCTTGTCAATGCTCATGCACTGATTTGTGGCTATATTTGGCTAGCAAAGCTTTTTTTACATGTTTTGCACTGATCAGATAGTGCTGATTTATTTATTTATGTATTTATTGTTATATATCAATTGAAGAGTTTTTTGTGGAGACTTAGTGTAAGCAACTAAAACTCCAAGGATCAAATATATAAAAATTAAAAAAAAAAATCAAATCCAACTGTAATCCAATTGGTGAACAGTAACACCCATCTCTAGTAAAGCCCAATAACTTGAAACTAAGTTGTGAAGGCCGCCATCAGTACAAACAATACAATAGGGCTTATAGTCCACAAAACGTTAAAAGCAAACAAATAAGTCCAAAACTGATACCTAAGCATGTTCTTGGTGACGATTCCTCCGTTCTCCGCTGCTCTGTTCCACCCTACCTTTAGGGATTGAGAGTTGCTTGAATTGAATGATCTTCAAAAACGTTGCATAGGTAAGTAGCATTTTATCTTCTAATAGTACTTTCACAAATTTCGATTCCCAATGTTTAGATTTCTCTGCAAAAGCTTAGAGTTAGGCTGTTCAAATAGAGTTAATTTATTAGTTCATAAAGAACTTCACTCTTTTCTTGAAAACCCTTCAATATTATCATGTCTCAGACACATTTCATCAGTGAATACAGATGATATAAAAGAACATTCCTTTACAGTCTCATACCTTATGAACAAATGCGGGTTTTCTCTAAAATCTGCTTTAGAAGTGTCTAAACAAGTTCATTTTGAAACCCCAGATAAGCCTGATACTGTTCTTGCCGTTTTCAAGAACTGTGGCTTCTCAAAATCCCATATTTTGAACCTTGTGACGAGACGGCCAACGGTGCTTTTGTCTAAACCTAACACAACACTTTTGCCCAAGCTTGAGTTTTTCCAATCTAAAGGTTTTTCCAGCCGTGATGTTATCAAAATCATATCATCCTACCCATGGGTTTTGATGTACAGCTTAGAAAACAAGTTAGTCCCTGCTTTTGATTTCCTTGAAAACTTGCTCCAATCTGATGCCTCGGTCATCAAAGCAATCAAGCGTTACCCTGGTATTCTATATATTAATGTTGAAAACATGGCACGTGTTGTTGATGTTTTACGAGACAATGGAGTCCCTAAAAAGAATATTGCTCTGCTAATCCGTTCCAAGCCTTCTATTATGATTTCAAATCTGGAGAATTTTAAAAAGCTTATACAGAAAGTGGCTCTAATGGGATTTCGCCCTTCAAAGAGTCAATTTGTTTGTGCAATCATGGTGCTGATGTCCTTGAGCAGATCCACTTGGGAAAAGAAGTTTGCTGTGTATAGGAGGTGGGGTTTGTCTGAAGAAGAAATTCTTACAGCATTTGTAAAATTTCCAATGTTTATGCGCATATCTACAGAGAAGATAGCTGGATCAATGGATCTTTTTGTCAACAAATTAGGTTGGGAGTCTTCCTATATTGCCAAAAATCCAACTTTTTCATCATATAGCCTTGAGCAAAGGCTAATTCCAAGGGCTTTGGTATTGCAATTTTTAGTTTCTAAAGGCTTGGTTGAGAAGAGTTTCAGGAGCCTTGCATTCTTCAATACACCTGAAGATAAGTTCCGGCAGATGTTTATTGATCATCATGCCGAATCTACCCAGATATTGAGATTTTATGAGGAAAAACTTAATCTTTCATCAGTTGTAAACTCTTCTGCATTTTAAATCACGGTCACTCTACATTTTGTCTTGTTTTCTTATTTTGTTCTTTGTTTCAGGATTTCCATAAATTTGGCATTTCATATTGCAATTTTGTTTCTATATCATTTGTGTTTCCCTCAATCAAACCCTGAAACTTGTCCTCACTGATGTTTTTACAGCCGTCTGCCCTAATAGGATAGATGCACTTCTCTTGCCTCGTACAAAATTTGATCACGTGTACCATCTTATTGTTGCTTGTTAACCATGATTTTACACGATAAGAGATGATCTAATCCAATTCAGGTATATGCTCACCCTCATTTTCTTGGTGATTGCTTTCATGAAACAGAGAGGCTCGGACTTCATTCTGATTTGATACTGTATAGAAGTGGAGGTCACTCATGCTTCGCATATTAGATCTTCCTTTCTACGGATTGTTTATACTAGTCGAAGTATTGAAAACATAAAAATTTGTTTAACTTTGAGATTATCGGAGGATTTAGAAAGTTTCCATGGCTTAAGATACTTCCAGTAACCTTCATCCTATGAGTGCCGGATTTGATTTCTGATGCAGAGAAGATGTTAAGCCATTGTCAGTTTCATGGATTCATCCCACCTGACATTAATTAAAGGGTTGTGCTAAGACCAGCTTGTGTCTCAACAAAGTTAGAAGCTTTGCAAAGCCAACCTCAGCAGAGGACATTAGTCACCCAAAAAAATGGATGCATAAACTCCGACCTTGTTTATCATCACTTCATGACCAATGCACCTAAAGAGCTAGACGTTTTCCTATCCCTCAAGCTGAATAGGACCTATCTTATTGAAATATAATTACAAATAAAAGTAGGTGTCAAAGTTCATTATATTTGAATCATTGAAAGAAAACAGGATTATCGGGCACGTGTGGCACAACGAGATATTAGAGTTAAGGAGTTGTCATCCAATTATGTGGTTTAGGCTCATTAAAATTAAGAGATTTAGATGAATTGATTTTATTAAAATTTTCAAGGTAAAAGACTAAGAAAAATATTAGTACCCTTTAACACATCATACCTGCATAATATAAGATATATTATTTAATCTAAATATGGTTTAAAACTCACATTAGATTGCACCTTACCATGGATGTAGTCTTGCACCTATTTTTCTTGGCATAACATCTTCTCTTTAGTCTATCCTTACATTCTTCGGGTTCTATGAATGCTTGATAAATGTCAAAAATAATCTTATCAAAGTAAAATTAAAAATCAAACCCTAAAACTTAAATATCATGCATGAAGAAACTAATAATATATAGTAAAAAATCAAACTCTAAAACTTAACGATATGAAATTAATCTATATAAGATCACATATATACAGATGAGTTAATTAAGCAATAAATCTATCTTCATTGTTTCTCTTTCAAATCTCATAAATAAATAATTAGCACACCACTAATTAATAATCATATATTTCAGCTAGTTTTAACTAGCAAATTAAAATAAGACTCTAAATCTATTCGAGCATGCATTTATATAAAAATATTTTGACTTCAAATCTTACAAACAAAGAATAAATAAATAATTAACAAAATATTAATCAATAATCACATATTTCGGCTAACTCTAACAAAAACCAAATTAATGAAGCTTAAAGCTAAGAAAAATCAAACTCTAAATCAGACATATTATAAGAAAATGTATCACTCAAATTTCTTTTATCATATAAAGATTGATTTACCAATTGATAAATTAAAATCAAAAGAAAGAGAGAGTATATATTATTGTTGTTGTTCTTCTTCTTCTTCTTGTTAAGAAAGTAAGTAGAAGCAAGTAAGGTTTTTTATGTAATGAACAAGTAAAGGAAAAGGGAACTTCTCACTCTCTTATTAATGTATACATCTTCCTACTAGAGGGATGCATGAGCAGAAATTTTTTTAATAAAAAAAATTTTTTTTGAATATTAGGACCAAATTTCTTGATCAAATAAAGTCAAGCGAAATTTTCAAAGAAACGACAATCAAATTAAAGTAATTATTTAGAACATCTTTAAGTTAAATATATTTATTTTGAAAACATTTTTATATCAAATATAAAAAAAAAGTCGAGCAAATTTGTTCTCGTTATTTTCAGTAGTTAAGGTACTTTTTTCTGGAATATATTTGAATGGAATTTATTTATTTTAAAAAAAATATTTTTTTAAAAAAAAAAAAAAAAGTCTAGGCTCACCCATAACTAATTACTACCCCAAATAAACCCCAATTCAATTTAAAAACATCAAAGTATAATCGTTCAATTGAATCAATCCATGCTTAAATTGTCCAATGCAAGAAAGCTCAAGAATATACCATAGGTTGCGCTAAATCAGAGCCCAACCCATTTCAACATAGAGAACTACTTGATTCACCCGAGCCTTCGTCGCTGTTGATCTCCCTCTCTAGCTGGCCGTTAGATATAGGACCACTATCAATGGACAAATGAGATTGAGATCTTTCTGTGGGTTTTTCAATGCGTCATCATCCCACCGGGATTGTTGTCGGACCATCATCAACCGCGGTTTGTGAGGCGCACACGCCAAGTGAATAGCACAATGCACCGCAATGGCATTTTAGTAATTTCATAATTTGACCGGATGCATTTTGATCATTTCATAGTTTGACCATGGGGATTTCAGTGATTTTGAAATCTGATTTTATTTATTTTAACTTATTTTATTTATACTTGTAATTTAAAACAATTATCTTTATATGCTTATTTATGGATATTTGATTAAATAAAATATCTGCAGCTCACCAAAGCATGCCACACCTGATGTTTGTAAATGTCCTTTAACGGAACCAGGAGGGGGGTCGGGGACACAGGAATTTTGACGGGAAAATAAGGATTGTAAATGTCCTTTAACGGAACCAGGAGGAAGAGGTTGTGATTTGATTTTTTTAATATCCTGATGTTTGCTGAGTTGATATTTGAATGATTGGCCGACCATTAATTTGCATGATTGATAATTTAATTTATTGATGTCATGCATGATCACCTTATTATTTATTGATCAATTGTGTATGATGCTTCTTCGAAAAAAATATTTTCCAAGCAAATCCTGAAATTTGCATTATGATCATGAATGTGCGATATTAGTAAATATGAGAGAATTCAATAAATATTAATGCACACTAGTAATACAAGTTAATTTTTACTATAAGATGACTTGATGAATATTGATTGCTTTACTATAAATTCTTTTATGTCTTTATTATTGATATTAAATTAATTTCAAAGCTTGTTAATTATTTTTAAAACTTATATTTTATGATCGATTCATTTATAAATAGTTTATTTTTATTAATTCTTTTTAAAATATTATATTTAACAACGGTATTCGTTAGCGATTTGTTTAGATAAATTAATTTCAAAACTTATATTTATAGACCGGTTCATATTTAACATATATTTTTTAAAATATTATATTTAATTAATCCATCTATGAACAATATAATTGGACCATTTGAGTTATAGCCCTGACCAGTTTAACTATCCTTGTGATAATCATAGAGATAGACCCAGCGAGTCCAGTTATCCTTGTGATGATCATACTGATAGCCCCAACTACTGATTAAATAAAAAGTGCCTAAGCAGCTTTGATCTTTTCTAATTATTGGGTTTATAATTTTCTAATTTCTTCATGATTCATGAAGATCAAAGCCCAATAACCTGAAGGCTGTCAAGGCCAGGCTATCAACACAAACTTTTGAATAGGGCTTTTAGTCGCGAGACGTTAGAAGAAGTGCAAAAATAGACCCAAACTTGTTCTTCGTCAGGGTTCGTCTATTCTCCTCCCCGATGCCCAATCTTGTATGCACTGCTCCGCTGTTAGGGTTTAAGAGCTGCTTCAATAGAATGGTAAGTAGCATTTTACTCACTACGACTTTCTCACGTTTTAATTTCCAATGTTCAGATTACTCTGCAAAAGCATAGTGATAGGGTCTTCTGTTAGAGCTTCATCAGTTCATTATTTTCTTGAAAACCCTTCAATATTATCATGTCTCAGATACATCTCATCAGTGAATACAGATGATGATATAAAAGAACATTCCTTTACAGTCTCATACCTTATGAACAAATGTGGGTTCTCTCTAAAATCTGCTTTGGAAGTTTCTAAACAGGTTCGTTTTGAAACCCCAGATAAGCCTGATTCTGTTCTTGCCGTTTTCAAGAACTATGGTTTCTCAAAATCCCAAATTTTGAACCTTGTGAGGAGACGGCCACCGGTGCTTTTGTCTAGACCTAACACAACACTTTTGCCCAAGCTTGAGTTTTTCCAATCTAAAGGTTTTTCCAGCCGTGATGTTATCAAAATCATATCATCCTACCCATGGGTTTTGATGTACAGCTTAGAAAACAAGTTAGTCCCTGCTTTTGATTTCCTTGAAAACTTGCTCCAATCTGATGTCGTGGTCATCATAGTAATCATGCGCTCCCCTCGTATTCTAAATAGTAATGTTGAAAGCATGGCACGTATTGTTGATGTTTTACGAGACAATGGAGTCCCTAAAAAGAATATTGCTCTGCTAATTCGTTGCCAGCCTTCTATTATGATTTCAAATCTGGAGAATTTTAAAAAGCTTATAGAGCAAGTGACTCTAATGGGATTTCATCCTTCCAAGAGTCAATTTGTTTCTGCAATCACAGTGCTGAGGTCCATGAGCGGATCCACTTGGGAAAAGAAGCTTACTGTGTATAGGAGATGGGGTTTGTCTGAAGAAGAAATTCTTACAGCATTTGTAAAATTTCCAATGTTTATGCGCAAATCTGCAGAGAAGATCGCAGCATCAATGGATCTATTTGTCAACAAATTAGGGTGGGAGTCGTCCTATCTTGCCAAAAATCCAACTACCTCATCATATAGCCTTGAGAAAAGGCTAATACCAAGGGCTTTGGCGTTGCAATTTTTAGTTTCTAAAGGCTTGGTTGAGAAGAGTTTCAGAAGCCTTGCATTCTTCAATACATCTGAAGATAAGTTCCGGCGGATATTTATAGACCATCATGCTGAGTCTACTCAGATATTGAAATTTTACAGAGAAAAACTGAATCATTCATCAGCTGTAAACTCTTCTACATTTTAAATCACAATCACTCCACATTTCGTATTGTTTTCTTTTGTTCTTTGTTTCAGGATTTCCATAAATCAGGCATTTGATATTGCTATTTTTTTTCTATATCATTTGTGTTTTACTCGATCAAACCTTGAACCTTGTCCTGGTTGATGTTTTTACAGCCATCTGCCCTAATAGGATAGATGCACTTTTCTTGCCTCGTACAGAATTTGATCACTTTTACCATCTTATTGTTGCTTGTATGTGATGATTTTACATTGTAAGAGATGATCTAATCCATTTAAGGTATATGCTTACCCTCATTTTCTTGGTGATTGCATTCATGAAACAGAGAGGCTCTGGAGGTCACTCATGCTTCGCATATTTGATCTTCCTTTCTACGGTTTGTTTATACAAAACATAAAAATCTGTTTCACTTATAAATTACTAGTCCATTGCCCCCCATTACGCGGAACAAAAAAAAAATTAAAAACACTACTAAAAAAAATCTGAAATAGATTTTAATAATAAATTGATTGATATTTTTATTAAATATTAAGATGAAAATATATTATATTAACTGAGATAACTTGTAAAAATTGTGTGGATAATTTTGAAAAAAAAACAATAAGTTGTAAAAGTCGCATGGGTAATTTAAAAAAAAAAAAACAAAGTGAAAAGCTCACAATCCAATTTTTTAAAAAACAAAGTGAAAAGCTCACAATCCAATTAACTCAATCCAATTAACTCAACGTTAAAAGAAAAATGATAAAAAAATAACACTTAATTAATTAAAAAAAGCATAAATGAACTCAAGTAAACTAAGTAAATCTGTATTGCAAGTTATAGAAGTCTTTGGATTCAATAAAAAAACATATATGGAGCTTTTATTAATGATAAAATTGAATGAGAACTTTTTTGTATAAAACATATTGTTTTAAAAGGAAAAAAAATCATAATAAAAACATGTGGTTGAGATAGTAAAAGTAGATCATTAATAATAAATAATAAATTTTTTTTTTTTAGTTTTGAGCTAAGTAAAAAAATATATCATGATGAAATTATATTTTTTAAAATTGAGAGATAAAAAAAGTATTAATAAAAAAAAGAAGAAGCAAATAATAGCTTGAATGTCTCTGATCAAACTTGTTAAAACTATAACTTTTTCATGATCTCAATTAGATTTGGTGATTTTTCTTAGCAGGATATAAAAAATAAAAATTAAAAAAAAGAAGAAGCCGAGGTACATTCGGCCAAAATACCAGCCCAGCCACACTCCGAGACTTAGTTTTTTTTTTTTTTAATAGATAACTGTGTTATCTGTCCTGTTTGTCTTTATTTTTTAGAAAATATAATAGCAGATAACGCATCATTTGCTTTATCTAACCATCAAAAGTTGCTGGAAAAATATATGTTGTTAGTTTTTTTGTGAAGGATTATATCTCAAGAGCATCGAATATGTACTAGTTTCATATGCAACTGAAGGTCCGCTGCTGGAAGAATCCCTGTGAATAATTATTTTCTCCTTAGGAATTGCTTGCGTGATCTTCCAAGCTTGTGGTCAGAGTATACACGAAGCTTGTTATAGAACATTGTGGCAAGATCTTGTTCTGAAGCTTCTTTGGAGTAGAAAAAATGGATTTCAGAAAAGAAAAAAAAAGAGTTTTTATCAGGATTAATTACACCAAAAGGGTGTGTTCAGGCTATTTCTACCAAAATAGTAAGAAATACATCAAGATTACAACTATTTTCTTATAAAAAACCAAATTCATGATTCATAAGGCGTTTCATTTGTGATAATCTAATATATATATGAAAATATTATATTATTCATTTCATTTCTTTATTTGAAAAATAAAGGTGAAGAATCTTTAAAATTTGTTTTTCAAATTTAATATAAATTTGGTAAGAAAATTTTTTTTATAGAAAAACATTATATTGAAACAGAAAGTCTTAGTTTTCTTTTACCAACTTTAATTTTCTGAAAAAATAGACCTTTATTAGTTGCTTGGTCTTTTCTAACTATTGGGCTTATAATTTTCTAATTTTGTTATGATTTATGAAGATTAAAGCCCAATAAGGTGAAAGTTGTAAAGCGCAGGGTATCAATACAGGCATTTGAATAGGGCTTGTAGTCCAGAAATGTCAGAAGAAGTACAAAAATGAGACCCGGACTTGTTCTCGGTTAGGTTTCCTCCATCCTTCTCCAGTCTGCTCTGCTGTCCTCCACTGTTAGGGTTAAAGAGTTGCTTCAATGGAATGGTAAGTGGCCTTTTATTCACTACTACTACGACTATTTTCTCACTTTTCAATTTCCAATGTTTAGATTACTCTGCAAAAGCATAGAGATAGGGTCTTCTGTTAGAGCTTCGTCGGTTCATTATTTTCTTGAAAACCCTTCAATATTATCATGTCTCAGAAACCTCTCATCAGTGAATACAGATGATAATATAAAAAAAGCACCAATTTGAGCAAGGGAATGTCTCAAGTCTCAATGATAAAAAGATTACTCATACCTTATGAACAAATGTGGGTTCTCTCTAAAATCTGCTTTGGAAGTTTCTAAACAGGTCCATTTTGAAACCCCATATAAGCCTGATTCTGTTCTTGCCGTTTTCAAGAACTTTGGCTTCTCGAAGTCCCATATCTTGAACCTTGTGAGGAGACGGCCAGCGGTCCTTTTGTCTAAACCTAAAACAACACTTTTGCCCAAGCTTGAGTTTTTCAATTCTAAAGGTTTTTCAAGCCCTGATGTTATCAAAATCATATCATCCTACCCATGGGTTTTTAAGTACAGCTTAGAAAACCAGTTAGTTCCTGCTTTTGATTTCCTTGAAAACTCGCTCCAATCTGATGCCGTGGCCATCAAAGCAATCAAGCGTTTCCCTCGTATTCTAAATGTTACTGCCGAAAACATGGCACGTGTTGTTGATGTTTTACGAGACAGTGGAGTCCCTGAAAAGAATATTGCTCTACTAATTCGTTCCCGGCCTTCTATTATGGTTACAAATCTGGAGAATTTTAAAAAGCTTATAGAGGAAGTGACCCTAATGGGATTTCATCCTTGCAAGAGTCAGTTTATTGAAGCAATCAGGGTGCTGACGTCCATGAGCAGATCCACGTGGGAGAAGAAGCTTGATGTGCATAGAAAGTGGGGGTTGTCCGAGGAAGAAATCCTTCAAGCATTTGTAAAGTGTCCATGGTTTATGTCCCTATCTGAAGAGAAGATCATGGCAGTTATGGATCTATTTGTCAACAAACTGGGCTGGGAGTCTTCCTATATTGCCAAAAATCCAACCTTTTCATCTTATAGCCTTGAGAAAAGGCTAATTCCAAGGGCTTTGGTATTGCAATTTTTAGTTTCTAAAGGCTTGGTTGGGAAGAGTTTCAGAAGCCTTGCTTTCTTCAATACACCTGAAGACAAGTTCCGGCAGATGTTTATAGATCACCATGGTGAGTCTACCCAGATATTGAGATTTTACGAGGAAAAACTGAATCTTTCGTCAGTTGTAAACTCTTCCGCTTTTTAAATCACGATCACTATACATTTTTTTCATATTGTTTTCTTCTTGTGTTCTTTGGATTTCCGTAAATTAGGCTTCGTGTATTGCAATTTAGTTTCTATTGTCACCTGTTTTTCACTCAGTCAAACCTTTGAAACTTGTGATGAGACTGCCTTCGGTGCTTTTGTCTAAACCTCACAAAACACCTTCGCCCAAGCTTGAATTTTTCCAATCTAAAGGTTTTTCAAGCCCTGACCATGTCAAAATCATTTCATCGGACCCATGGATTTCGAAGCGCAGCTTAGAAGACCAGATAGTCCCTGCTTTTGATTTCCTTGAAAACTTGCTCCAATCATTTTTACTCATGATGAATGATGGTTTTTACACCATGAGAGAGATCTAATCTAAGTTAGGTATGTGCTGACCGTCCTTGTTTTCTTGGTAACTGCATGGTGGATCGGAACGGCGGAGAAATGGAGGCCAATCTGGCATTGCGTATTTGAGATCTTTTCCCTTCTACAGTTTGTTTTTAACTATAAGAATTATTCTAAACACAACATATTTTTCTCGAGTATAGATTCTTTTGGGGTTCGGAAGGTTTCCGTGGCTTAAGATCCTTCTAAACATGAGACAGAGGAATGTTTACCGTACAGAGCCATTTTTGAATGCTAAGATCCAAATCTTGACGTTGAGACATTGCTAGTTCAAGGATTTTTGTTATGGAGGATTTAATGTCAAGAGCTTCGCTTGGATAATAGTTTCATTTGCTCTAGGAACAGTCCTTTTTATTGATGGATTAAGTGTTCTACAAAGCTTCTGTCCTGATATAGCACACAAGGGTAAAAAGAAAGCAGAGAAGGCAGGAGAAACTGATAATAACCAAACAAAGTCTCGAAAAACCACCACAAACATTTTATTTTAGTTGGAAGCCACAGGGAACAGCGGCCGTCGACACGTACTGGGATAGCTATTGGCTGCTGTCATGGATATATACAAATACTGGCATCATTATGCATACGCAGATAGCGAAGCTTAGATAGTAAAGGATCCAGTATCCTCTATTTATGCAGTTACTCTTCCTTGTGGAGTTCTTTGAGGAGGTCCTCATTGTCAACCAGAACCTACAAGTACGATCCAGTATCCTCTATTTATGCAGTTACTCTTCCTTGTGGAGTTCTTTGAGGAAGTCCTCATTGTCAACCAGAACCTACAAATAAGTGTAAAGAAAAAATAATAATAATGCAGATGCCACAACTAAAATCTGTGCATCCGAGGCCAATTCAGAACACCAGAAACGATTTAACATTCCATTTAGGGAAGCCTGGCACAGCGCATCTACACTCAGTCCTGCGCCAATTTCTAAGTGTTTCTACCCCGAACAAACAAAGCTTTATCAACACATACAACTGCAAGATCTCACATGCCATTTGTGACTATCAGACCAACATATATCTATTTTCCCACATACAGGGACAACTGATTCATCTTATAAGACCCATACAAGTCTAGCTATTAACTCAATATACAAACAAATTCAACTCAGTTTTCCCACTTCCAGTCACACCTGATTCTTCTTATACAACTCACAACTAATAAGGAAAACAATCGAATGGGCGAAGAACCCATTTGTTAATAAGGGGCAACCGCAGGTGCATCCGTAAAAATCAACTAAGTTGCACCCCAAAAATCAACTAAAAGATGCTTTTAACGAGGTACATCCACAAACAAGCCCGTATGGTTTGAAAAAAGCTAAACAACAAGAATAAAACAACAAGAAAAACTCCAAGAACAGTGATCTGAATTTGGGACCCAATGGTGGGTTCTAATGGTTCCCGTGCATTCTTTAAGTTTCTTCTGCTTGTTTTTTCGTTTAGTATTACTTACATTGTTTGTGTGGTTCGGATTTTGTCCTGGATTTTCCTAATTGTATGTAAAATTTTTGGTTTTAAAAGTCTCACTTGTCACATTTTTGCTACTATTCAATTGATAAGTTGGATAAAGAAACTTGGAATCTAGAATTGATTATAGGAAACTTACAGATTTCCAGCCATCTGGATCTAGAAAAGAGGTGATTTTGGTGTTGATTCCAGGAATTGGTCCTGGTTGACGTGTTATCTTACCACCAAGCTCTTGCGTAACAAGGTTGACAACCTCAGCACTTTTGTACACATCATCAGTACTAATTGCAACCTGTAGGAAGTACCGGAGTCATCAATGTCTAAACTAGGGAATCGTTTAGGGGTTCGAGTAGCTTGGAAAAATGAATTTTAAAAAACCTGTGCATATGCATTTCCCTTGGTGTATTCAGTCACACCATAGTTGTAAGTAAATTCCAGAACAGTTGTCTCATATTCATCAGCATACCCCACCATGGCCAATGTGTACTGTAAATTGAATCAACAAGGTGAGGGAGCTCCAAATGCCTACTCCTTATCTCAAAGCATAAAGAGCACACCTACTATTTATGTATTAACTGAGAGACAGCATTATACCTTGTACTCAGGTCTATCAATCTTCCTCAATAGCTTCATCCCCAAGGCCTGCACGGAAGGAAAACCATGAAGCTTGAATCAAACGTGTTATTTAGTATTGTTGCTAAGTTCCCCAATGCCTGCAACATTGTAGCGTAAAAAATGCATAGAACATTGACTTGACTGTATTACTAAACAGATGGGATGATCATAAATCTCTAATTACCCCCAGCATATCAACCCAAAAAAGGTATTTGGCTCAAGAGCAATACATTCATAGTCTTCATTTTTTCTTGTACCAAAACAAATTTGTAATGTGTAATTACTTTCTTTATTAACAACCTCAAGATGAGCTTGCACATAGTAATCTATTACACAGGCCAATCAATCACTAACCCAAATATAATGGATTCTTTACTTAGAAGCCCAAACATTCTTTCATTCTTTTTGCTCATAAATAACTGCTCTGCCCAATGCCACAAACATCCCAGAACAGACAAAAATCAAGTAAAATGACCAGCTATACCTTTTCATAGAACTTGATAGAGCGATCAAGATCTCCAACACGGAGCATTAATTGGCAGAGGGGCTCAGGAGTTGGACCTCTCTGGATGAGCTCAAAAGCATAGCCATCAGGATCCTTCACGAAAGCAATTACAGATGTTCCACCTTTGACCGGACCAGGTTCCCTAGTAATGTTACCACCAAGGGCACGGAGCTTTTCTACTAGCTTATAAACCTAAAAGACCATGAAACACAAGATTTATTCCAAGCACCAAGGAAAAATCTAATCCTAATAACATAATATCACACTTACATCCTCAGTTGCAATTGCAAAATGACCAAAACCTTCTCCAATATCATATGAAGTCACCCCATAATCTGTAAATCAACAACAAGCTATATAAACTCCTAGAATCACGGAGGTGAACGAATCAAAAGAGTATATATGATTTTTAATGCCAGTCCTACTGATTCCTAACCCCTTTGCTACTAAAGCAAGGCTCGAACATCACAAATAAATTAAAAAAAAGAGGAAACAAACAGAATCCATGCAACCAGTAAAAAAACCAAGGAATCCACTGCCACTCAACAATATAAAGAGATTATGCAGCTTATCTCTTCTATTATTCATAATACCTACCATAAATCCACCCTTTTCCCATCTAATTTACCATTCACCAACTAACCGTCCATAAATAACTAATGAATTCAATAATAATAAAAAAAAAGACTCTAAAGTAGGATCAGGTTTTGAGAGGGAAATACTGTAAGTTAATTCAACAACAAAATTAGACTCTTCAGGTCCAAACCCAAGAAATGCATTGGAGTATTTCTCTTCTGGTATATCCCTGTGCCTCAATAACTTCATTCCAAATCCTTCTGTATAAAACCTACACCATCAACAAAAAAGACAAAACTTACCAAAATTTCCAAAATCACAAAAAAAATCCAAATCCAGATTATTTACATCAAATGCATACTTGTTCGTTCCATATCACACCATCAAGTACTTAAATCCACTAAAACAATTGCAGAAATTAACGAAGCATAGCATAAGAAATCTAATTTATATTATACACATCAATTATAAATTTGCAAATCAAGAGAAAATTAACTGCAAAACAAGATAAAAAAGTCGAATTAAAGTAAAAGATTTACTCACTCAATAGTGCGATCAAGATCACCAACACGATACACGGCATGAAGCAAACGACGCTTGTCTTTCTTCGGCCATTCCAGCAACTCGGCGTTTGGCGTCACTGCTTTCGCTGCCCCCTCAGCCATACCGTAATTCTCCATGACCACACAAATTAAGCAAACAAAATCAAACGATAATCATTAAATTAATTAATCAATCGCTCAATCGAAACCCTAAATTTTTAGATTAGAGAGAGATGTTACCAGAAATTAGATAGTGTAGAGTGGAGAGTGGAGAGTAAGAGCTGAAATGATCGTAGCACCTAGAAGGGTATTTAAAAGAACAAATATTAGAGTGACGGGGTTGTTACGTTGTGAAGTTGTTGATGTTTACCACGTGTTGGATTTTGTGGGTTTGGTGCAAGATAATCGAGTCATATGTGTCTGTCGTTAGAGTAATAAGATGCATCGCTGTTAGCTTAGTGTTTGACAGGTCTGGGTAACGGACACAATGGGGGAAACGTGGCGCTCTTTTTGATTGTTAGTGAACTGGATAGCGTCACGTAACGTGGAAAGATTTTTTTGTTTTTAATTTTTGGATTTTTGTTTTATGATGGATTTTGGCGTTAATTTGAATTTTTTTTCTTGTTCATAAATCTTGATATTGAAAAATCGGATTTTCATGAAATTCTTAAGATAATGTGACTTTGAAGAGATTGGAAAAATGAATTTAATAATTACGTACCATCTTACATGCTCCAAAATTTATATTTCAAATATATATATATATATCTTTAATTGTTTTTACAGGTATACTGTTAGATATATAGTGTTTTGTTGTTATTTTGGAAATAAAAGACAGATTGTTAAGACAGAGAATTTTTTTTAAAAAAATATATATATATATATAAATTTTATAAAATAAATTTATTTTATATTTTTATTTTTGTAAATCAAATGCATTCATCTCCATTTCTATGAATCTTTATATTTTATCGTGAACTGTAACCAAATTGACATTTATTTTATTTTTTGCTTTAGAAGGCGTTGCTAAGCTTTTTTGAATGATGGGTCAATTCCTAGTAAAAAGGAGTGGCTGCCAGCCATAAGACCTTTCACCGATCCTTTGGTTGATAGTATTTGGAGTCATCCTAAAAATACTATTCAGATTCTTTTGGAACCTGGTGAGTTATTGCTTTCAACAACTCCGGTAAATATTATTTATTTAAAAATAAATTAAAATAATAATAATAATATTATTATTATTAATTTTTAACATTAAAAATATTAATTTAAAGCTTTTTAAAATTTTAAAAATATAATTGGACCGTGATTTGATATGATAATATTAAAAATTAAAAAATACAGTGATTTGCACTTGATTTGATCACAACTCCTATGACTAAGATTTATAAAACAAAGATATATAAATAAAATACAGTGATTTGCATTTAATGTGATAGCCTTCACATGATTTCATCCACGTGTCCTGTGCTTATTAAAAATAAACAAGATTTTTTAAATTGTACATCACAGAGTTTAAGTTAATTGTGTTGTTATAGTGGTTATTTTTTAAATTAATTTTTTATTTAAAATATATTATTTTATTTTATAAAATTATTTCTTAACATTAACTTGTTAAAATAATTTAAAAATACTAAAATTTTATTTAAAAATAAAAAAATATTATTTTTTAATAAAAAAACAAGTTAAACTATAGCCCACGCAAAGTAGTAGCAAGATTTTTATGATGATAGGAAATGGGGAAAGAAATAATTTGTTAGGATTTATTTTAACCTTTCGTTCCTTTCTAAAGATGCTCCTCATCACAATTTTAAAGGCTATTTTAAGGCAAGTTTAATGGTACGATATAAAAGAAAAAAAAAACAAGAAGAAGAAGAAGGAGGAGGAAATTTTAATAGAAAATAGCTTAACTTTAGGGTGATTTATGAAGTAAATATTGACCAATAAAATCGTAAAAATGATGATTTTTAAAAGGTACGTTTAGATAGGATCTAACTAATAGATCTTGAGTTTTATTTTGAGTAGCAATGATGATGCTCTCGGATGGAGTCTTGCACCCATTTTCTTGGCATACCATCTCCCCTTTGTCCGTGCTTGAATTCTTCAAGGTCGAATCAATCAGGTTCCTATCTTGATGATGAGTGTTAAGAATAATCTCATCAAGCATGTTCTGTTACGTTTAATGCAAGCTCAATTATTTCTGAAGGTTACCTTGTAAAACCAAGGATTTCCACCACCTTAAAGCGTTGATGAGAGCACTTTTTAGGCTTGATCTGTTCTGTTCTTGTTATGAAAGATCCATCAACATCTAACTGAAACAAGAAAAAACGCAGAGATACCTGCAAGATAAATCTCTGCTAAAAAGGAGCTGCGCGCCTCAATCAACGAGGTGATGCTGAGAAGTGTGGTTTCTACATTGCTTAAACGAGCTATCAACTTCAGTTGCTTGAGGTTGGTCTCTATATGATACAGATATCTTGAAAGTCTGTAAAAATTATGAACAATATACTCGCAATAATCTCCTCCTATATATCGACAGTTCAGCAAGTTGGGGAGCATGCTTCAAAGGCATTCTGATAATCAGTCCACAATAGTTGAACGATACAAGATTCATGGCTGACTGAGCAGCAAATTCAAACCTTTTCTTTATTTAAATTATGGATTAGCATGGTAATCTAATGACACTTTTAAAGGAATAATGGAAAATCCTCCGGATTCACCTGACTGTCTGCAATCGAGAACTCAGGCCTCCAATCCTTACACCTAGAAACTCCCATCAGGAGGAATGAAAAGAATTTTGAAAGAGAAAATCAAGATCATGCCTTCAGCACATTCCCTTAATTTATCTTGAACCTCCAGATTCATCTAGATCATACATAAGTACGGTGATGAAAGCCGAATCATCTCTTCATTGCAGATTCGGCCAGTATCTGAATAGCTGAATCCATCGGATAGCAACCGAGAACACGAGTAACAATTACCAACTCCAGTAGAGGGGGAAACAGAATAAATTTTTATGGAGTTCTTGTCTTTTGTATTTGACGTGGAAATTTCAGTTGACTGGAACGAGCTCCTTTGGGGCCATCACATATTCCTCGAAACAGATTTATTCTTGGTTAACAATCCCATGTAGATTGATTATGTACCAAGGAAAGGAAGATACGCATGGCCAGGAAGACAAATTTAGATTCTACTTTATGCAAACAAATGTTGGAAAACAGATATCCTTTAAAAGCCTTTTCATAATATCTCAAAGGAACATCTTCATCTATAAATACTGGAAGCTGGACGTTGGATGTCAACCTGACTTGCAATGCCTTCCTAACAAGAACTCATAAAGAAGACAGCTTCATTCCCAAGGCCAGAAGAAAAAACAAGAAGGAACTAGACTAGCTTAAAATTCATATAGTTTTCTATTATTTTTCGCATGAGATATATTGGCGAGCTTATGGAATTTGATTAGAGTACAACAAGAAAAATGATTCATTCGTAAACTAGCAATCTTAACTGGTGTTCAAATGTTTTAGATAAGGGCTAATTATACTGAGAAAAAAATAAAAATCACTGTAAAACAATATTCTACATAAATTAAGCTTTTTTGAATTTGTTTTTAATAATTAAAGATAAATATTATACTTACATGCTAAGAAATTGTCCAGTATATTAATGCTTGTTATTAAAGGTAAAAAATTAAGACAGTGATTCGAGACTCACCAAGGCATCACAATCAGATCCTCACTTTTGAAATACACGACCACTCAAGTAGAGAAATCATACCAAGGGAAGTCTCAAATTCCTCTCTCTCGTTTTCTCTCTTCTCTAAGCCTTTTTCCCTACTGCTAGTATTGATTATGCATTGTTGTATTGGATATGTTAGTGAGGAGTGAGAGAAAGGCCATACGAGTTTGGTGGTGGTTATGTGATGATTGCGTGAGCAAGGGCAGCTAGTGTGTGGTGGTTTGGTTCTTGACGGATCAGCATGAGTGATGGTGCTTCTGCGATGATTGCGTAAGGAGTGATGTTGGTACTGTTGATAATGCATTATTGTATTGGATATGTCAATGAGATGTGAGAGAAAGGCCATACGGGTTTGGTGGTGGTTCTGTGATGATTGCATGAGCAAGGGCAACTAGTGTGTGGTGGTTGGTTCGTGACGGATCGGCAACAGTGATGATGGCGTTGCGGATGGCTAGTAGAGAAGGGTTAGTTTGGTGTTGTGGGGTTGTGCTAGTGGTTATGGAGGCTATCCACCGGATTGGTTCTTGGTGGCAATTGGTGGGGACGGTGGCTGAGGTTGGCAGTACGTGGAAGAGTATTATATATTTATATATATAGGTTTCGGTGGTCTGGTCTCTCCGTGTCTAGTGCATACTATTGAGGGCCTTGTGAGATTGAAAAATATTGAAAAACTTTTTTGTTCTCTAATTTCTTCTTGAATGGATGAAGACCTCAAAATTTGGAAACTTTGTAGTTAAAAATTAATTTATTTTCCTTTCTCGAACCATCTAGGATCTCTTCGAATATCTTCATTAAAACTATATTGTTTTTCCAATTTGAAGCATAATCCCTCTTTTATTTTATATTTTTAATCTTTGAATTATATTATTTGATTCCTATTATCTTATTTGATACTCCAAGACTTTGGAGTTTGTTTAGGTCCTCTTTTTCTTGCTTGTCTGCCATATCACTCCCTTTTGTTTTAATTTTATGAAAAAAACCCGCCACGCCAAATAAGACAAGTAAAAATGCCAGAAATCATGAAATGAGGGTAAAATTCATAAAACCACATAATTTGCAGCAAAACAGGCTTGGAAAATAAAATCAAGACATATAAAACCAAACTATATGTTAACACGGCATCCTTAATAAGCCACAAAAAGAAAACATCTACTGGATTCAAGGGAGCAAGAGTGGGACGTTGAAGCTTTTACTTTCTTCCTAACCATTTTGATGGGTGAGAGTACTAATCTCCTCTTCATCTGTAAGCTCTGTTGGGCTTTCTGCTATCCAGGATGCCTCCTAGGGTGGCCAAGGCATCTTGGTACTTCGAAATCTTGAGGAAACCCCTTATCATGGTTACTTCATTGTCTGTGAACTTTGCTTTCTCCATTACCATATCAATGAGCTTAATCAGGGTTCCCACCATAGCTAAAGAAAAGAGTCCCTCGGCCAGCATATAGAAAGATGAGAATTCAGGTACATATCCTCTCTCTAGCATTTCCATAACGAAATCAACAGCTTCTCCAATTGGTCCTCCACCCTGGCACAGCCCACGGAAAACAATCTTATATGTGACAGCATCTGGAGCCTCAGCCTTCTCTATCATTTCCCTGAAAAGTCTCACGGCTTCTTTTGATCTCTTCCGTCTAAATAGTGCTTGAATTACAGGGTTATAGGCATGTGGGGTCAGATTTATGCCTTTCATTTGAATGGTTCTGAGGAGCTTAGTTGCAGCCTCAACTCTACCTGCCTTGCACAGTCCTGCAATCAAGGTCCCATATGTGACAATATCTGGTTCACACCCATCGGAAGCCATAGTTTGAACAATATCTGCTGCTTTTTTTATGTCCCCTGCCTTGCAGAAGTACGTAAGCAGAGAATTGTAGGTGAATTTGTCAGGCCTCAACCCTTCCATTATCATCTGGTCCATCAATTGAGAAGCCTCCTCCACCCTCTCGCTCTTACAAAGACCGTCAATAAGGGTATTGTAGGTCACTGAGTTTCTGGAAACCCCTTGGAGTTCCATCTGGTCAAAGATCTCCTCTGCTTCTGCAATCCTCTTGTTTTTGCAAAACCCATCAATCAAAGTATTATACGTTATAACATTTCTTGCACAGCCACTCGCTTCCATTTCCTTAAGCAGATTCAGAGCTTCCTGAAGCTTCCCTCTAAAACAAAGGCTGTCAATCAACATATTGTAGGTAAACTCATCAGGATGGCACCCTTTAGTCTTCATCTCCTTGTACAATTCCATTGCAACGGTATGATTTCGACTCAAGCACAAACCTTGTATAAGAGAATTATATGTACAAACATCTGGTAAAATCCCCTTACCAGTCAAGACAAGAGCAAGTTTTGTAGCCTCTTCAACTTGGTTCTCCTTACACAAGGTACTAATAATAGTGTTATAAGTAACCGTATTCGGCGAGCAATCCCTCTCAATCATCTGGTTGAGAACTTCCACAGCCTCATCAACCTCACCCAGCTTACACAAACCTGAAATCAAAGAATTATACGTGTATATATCCGGATCAAACCCTTCCCTGAGCATCATATCCATAACCTCTAAAGCATGCTTAACATGACCTGTCCTACTCAACCCATTAACCACCATATTAAAGGTATACTTGTCTGGAAAAAATCCCGCCCTCAACGACATCTCTTCTATAAACCTCAACGCCTCCTCAATCCTTCCCTCTTTGCAAAACCCATTAACCAAAACATTAACAGTCACATTAGTCACAACACATCCAGCTTCCACCATTTGCTCTTTCACTCTCATCGCACCATCTAAATTCCCTTCCTCAATAAACCCTTGCATTATAGTAGTAAACGTTTTCTCGTCCGGCAACAAACCAAAATCTTCCATCTCCTCCATCAACAAAATGGCTGGCCTAATTTGATGAGCTCTACACAAAGCTTTAATTAAAATATTAAAAGTCGAAACATCAGCCCTAATTCCTCTACTAACCATATTAGAATGCGCAATTTCAACTAACTTCAACTTATTTCCATCAACAAGAACATTCAACAAGAAATTATAAAAGTGGGTATTCGCCACTACCCCAAATTCAACTTCCATCGCATCAACGAACTGAAGAATCTCATTATATAATCCAAAACTGGCATAACTTTCAATAAAAACAAGTAAAGAGTCATTATCAATGACAGACAAATAAATCTTCATTTCTTTCAAGATGTCTTTCATTGCATCAAATTCACCTGCTTTACCAAGTTTATGAAGAACTTCCTTGAAGATGGATGAACTGGGCTTGAAATTTGGCTGCTTTGAGGCCCAGTAAAACAGGTGAATCACGGCGGAGGAGTCTTCTTCGCTGCGAAGGGAGTGGAGGAGTTGGGTTGGAGTGAAATTGGGAGATAGACGGATTGCTGAGTTGGTGGTCGTGGTGAGCGGCTCATGGTTAGTGGTAGCAAAAGAAAGAGTGGAATTGGAGGTGGGTTTGTGAGAGGCGAGGTGGTGGTGGAAGGGAAACCAAGTGTGGTACTTGAGAGTGGAAGTGAAAGCCATGGCGGGTTCAGTTCTTCGGCTGAGTTGGAATTTTTAAGACACATCCAATGAGAGAGATAGAGATAGATGTTGGCTGGGTTTAGGGCTTTTCAGGCTAAGCAAGTATTTTTGTTCTTGAAGGTATCATTTTCAGGGTTATAATCCAGCCCTGAAAAAAATTCATTTACAGATAAGTAAAAATAATAATAAAAAATTGTCTTAAAAGGGTTTTTTTTTTAAATTAAATTAACTCAGATTAATTAATCTATTCAATCAGCATCCTAAATTTTAAATTAAATGCCTGTTTATTTAGACTGTCAATCAAATTTCAAACTGTAATTCGCCACAATAATTATAAAAAAATATGCTTTTTGCAGCCGACTATAATTTAAAATGTGGTTGACCTTATAAACAATCGTACACTAAATCACTTTTCAAGTCAAGTTGTATAGATATAATCATTTCGAGTTTAAATTGAATGATAGGTCACAAGAAGGTAGTATATATATTCAATCCACATATAAAATGATTTGGTTTTGACCCAAGGTAGTTTATACATTCAATCTAAATGTAAATGATTTGTATAAACCTCATCAGTTCTGATGTATGAAAAATAGTTTTGATATAAAACATCCACACAGAAATAAATAAAAAGGAAAGGAAAGGCTTTGAGCAGCTCAAAATCATGGCAAAATGCTCTTGTAGTGGAATGAAATTGTTTATGTTGCTCAAGAACTTGGATTGATCCTCAGCCTTGTCTGCTTCAACACTTGCGGAAAAAGTTATAATATCTAGGTTTTGTTCATTTAGGAGTGATCCGTTGAATTTATATTTTGCTCTTATCATAGTTTAAAAATATTTAATTAATCAATATATACCACAATTTTGCATAGATATTAAACCTACTGAAAAAATTGCAATTTATAGCTTTTTTTTTAATTTATCTTTTCAAACTAAAACCGCAAAAATTATCAATGCAACAAACACATTACACTTACTGGAGGAAGCATGGCTAAAACTATCAATGCTTTAAAGACCATGTTACTAAATCTTGCAGGTCCAAAAATATTGGAGGAGGGATGAAAGGGATACACATCTCATGCACTAAATGTTTAAAGAAACCGTGTGAATGCACCAGAGTCTATTTAGGCTTACAATGGTTACAACTTACACCTTGAAACCCCAATTTTGGGGAAGTGAAAAGAATTATGAAAGAGAATTGAAAATGGAGGAGAGATCATGCCAAAGAGAACGTTTCCAGGATCTCTTCTCCAACTCTAGATTTATCTGAATCATGCATATGTACAGCAACAAAAGCTGAATCATAATCTCTCTGTTTCAGGTTGGATGACCATCTAAAGAGCTGAATCCGTTGCATAGCAGCCAAGAACACGAAGAAATCTAGCAAATTCCTGTATGAAGATAAACAAGATTCAAAATAAATTCAGTTTCAGTCTACAAGTTCTGGCACATGGTTTTTAGGATATGCGAAACACCAAAATAGGCAGCACATCAGAGAGAGATTCAACAAGCAGAATAATATGGAGTAGAAGTCAGGAGAAGAAATATCTAATCAGGGTTTCGCTTCTTCAACAAGGATGAGTTTTCTCAGATGTATCAGGAAATTTTAGACTCACTGACCTGCAAATGTGCCAAAGCATGCTGAGCCCGAGGTTCTGCCATGGAAGCTTCAAAGTCAATGTAGAAAAGGTAATCAAAGTACCTGTTGCCAGAAATACATCATTACTGTTACACATCCTCCAAAAATCAAGAAATGATATCTTCATCTGAAACTACAGAAGATAGATGGACCACTTAGTTGCAGAGAGGTTGAGGAACAAATGAGACTCCACTCATCCAGAAGCAGGTTCAGTCAAGTCTAAGTCTTTTGCATGCAAAACTTTGGATGCAAAGGTAAATGGAGACGAACAGTGTCTTTTAAGTTTTAAGCACCAATTTGAGCAAGGGAATGTCTCAAGTCTCAATGATAAAAAGATTAAAAAAAAAAAAAGGGTTAACTCTTACCTGGCACTTGCCTTGTTAGAATCATCAACAACCCTTAATGGACGCTTTCTTTGCGGGCGACTCTCTATCTGGAAGGTGGTCAAAGAGAGAGAACAAATTGGTTTTTGGATACAACTAAAAATAATGATCTCAACTAAAAAAATTACCTTTGTCAAGTTAATGTCCCTCGAAGCAAACACCGCTAGTGCTTTGAACAGCATGCCAGGACCTTCTTCGAGAGTGAAAACAATGCTTGTCTAAGATGGGGAAACGTCATGACTCGGTAACAAATGTTTATAGAAAAATTTCTGTTGATATGTCAACGGAAAGTACATAGCACTGGGAGACAGATAGTAATACCTTATGGGGCCTGTCAGTTCCAGGAATTATAGGTTCTCTTGCAAGTATCAAAAAGCGGGTAATATTATCATCATCATCCTGACATGTGTAAGTGAAGAAAATTAGGCTACATTTTGATTTCGCAAAACTGAAAATCAAAACAACAAAAGTATGGGCATTCAAGACAATCTTGTACATGCTAACATATTTATAGGCATAATCAATCGGAACTCCTCTGAGACTAGATCCCAAACACATCAGTCATATTTGCACAGCATATTTGGTGGCTTTAGAAGCATAAACCAGAGTGCATGTATTGAATCTCAAAGCATGTTTTCCAACATTGTAAAATTAATCATTAGGATTTTCTGAGAATGTCAATGAGTGAGCATCTTTAGAGGTTGTGGCTTAACAAATATGATGACTAGCACATATTTACAATTGGCATTCTCCACGAGAGAGATCTTTTCAGCTAATTCCACATCCAGCAGCAACCCCATTAACATGAACAAGAGCACATAAGTGACAAGATTAGAATCTAATCAGATGTTGCCTCAGATAGCTTGAACATCTAGGTCCTAGCAAATTTAGCTGGTAAAGCCAGTTGGCATGATAGCAACCTGGGAAAGAATCCCACACTCAGACTAGGGAGGGGGGGGGGGGGGGGGGGGGGGGTGTGCGCTAACCAAAATGCCAATGGACCAACTGGTACAAAAGAGAGCAACAATAACATCTTTTACTTCGCTTTGCAGATTATTGCATCTGTGGAGACAAGATTACATATGTTTGGCTGTTATTGTCAATAAATGACCAAGCAGGTCAGGTTAATAAATCAGCACTCAGTAGATGCATGTGATAACAATTTAAGTTTTCAGTACGAGGAATGTATTTAATTTGAAAATTCATGTGATAAACAGTCATGGGAAACTTAAAGGAGAAGTCTTGCCTGGATTTTTTCCAACAGAATGTTAAGGCCATAAATGCCTGCTGCACGATCACTAGCGATCACACCAGAATCTCTTTCACCACTTGCCGCAACCATCTGTCCCCAAACATTTTTAGATTTAGTACATAGACAGTCTATAGCATGATTCAAGCTTGGTAAAAACAAGATCGAAAAGATCTGAAAATTACCTGAGCAGCACCTGCAGTATCATCAGTACTAACTCTGACAACACCTAATTTGGTCAATATCATGTCACATTGATCAAGTGCCTACAAGTTAGAATATTTTTTAATAGAGCATCATATAAGTTTTTGAATTTAGCCAAAAAGTCCAAGCATAACCAGTCGGCCTCATATGAAGTTTAGAGATAACATGCTTGAAATGTTGGAAGCAAAAGTTCAGAAATTAATTAGATCACGCTGTCAGGACCCTACTTTGGCTGGATTAGCACTAGTTAATAGGTGTTGTACAAGTTTAGATACAATCACCTTAATGGAATCAGTTTCAAAGTTTTCAATAATAAATGAAATTTCACAAGCACTTTGACCACATATTGATGGATCTCATGGTGTACATCAGTAAATGTTTTCTAAAACAAACCAAAGTTACCAAAAAACACTCATTGGAGGGCATCTCCCAATCTAAATCAAACTACCAATAAATTCCAGCATACAAATTTTGGCTTTGAAATCATTTAGTATCACTTAGTTTATCAATAAAAGAAAAACAGTGATCCCAACAATTATTAGTTAAAATAGTAAAGGGGAAAAAAATGGTAATGACATAACATTTGCAGAAAAATCAAAAAATATTTGGTAATCTGATGCACTCCTCAAGGCAAATCATGTTATTGCATTCCATAGAGCAAACATTCTGAAGAAGATTACCATGATTTACTGTCTCATACAAGCAGCACACACCATTTTCAGAAAATTAATCAGGAAACTGGGTGTTTAGCTCCCTCATCTAACTTTCATATGGGATCTATTTGTAAAAACAATATGCTGACCCCATTAAAATGTAAGAGAGGGGAGTAGTATTCAGAGTTCTAACGGTCTTGTGTTAGATAATTTTTCCCATTCCAGAATTCATTCCATACCACAATCTTCAGTGTTTTGTGACTTTGAAACAATAACAAAAAAAAAAGAAAGATAACAGATTAAAATGTAAGAAATAAAACAACTAACCTGGGGGTGGCTCAAAACACGTTTCAATTCATCCTTCTGTACACCAGGCAATCCCAAAAGGCAATGGTTAACTATCATCTGCACCTCCCCTACTATATGCAGCCTATGGCGAAGGAGTAAATCATAATTGCGGTGGATGCTGCCACCCACTGAACTCTCAATGGGGAGGACTGCTTTATCCACTAGCCAGAGTTCAACTGCCTGTTCAATTGAGTAGAGAAGAATATCGGTGACAAGCTGACAATCATTTGTAGATTAGTTCAGCAAGAAAAGTGATACACAGGAATTATTTGAACCTTGAAAGCAGCTTCAAACTCTTCACACGGGACAGTTTCACACTTTGGATATGCTTTGAGCGCAGCAACCTCACCGTAGGCACCTGGCATCCCCTAAAATGGGCACCAAAGCCAGCTTAAGAATAGCATAAAAGACATAGATGTTTGAGTGAAGAATATTCAAGTTCTTACCTGATATGCAACCCGTACTTTTGCACCATTTCCAGGAGAAGAAAAAAGACCTGTAGCAGATAACGGTTCTGCAACACAGAGCAAAAATGCAAAACAGATCAACCAACAATTGTTAGAGTTTAGGAAATCACCACCAGCTTAATGAATTTTCTCTGTCATTATTGTACTGGCACAGTGGATTATTATCGCTTGGTCGACCTTAATAGGCAACATGGTAATTATCTGCCATGTGGTTGAAGCTTACAAATCAGAACAAGATCTATCACAAACCTCCAAAAGATCTAACATGCCCAGAGTACTGGACAAACTGATACAAATATGGAAACCACTGATTTCACATTAATGATTGAAAAGAAATAATATTAGGCTACTAAAAAGATCGATCATCAGACCAATTATGCATGCAGAACATGACAATTGACCCAAGAAATGCTCAAATGCATCCACTCGACGAGCATCCCTAACAAGGTTAACGCCTTCTATAGAAGTTAAAAATTCTCAGTAGAAACTTCTTCCAATATAAACCTAGAAATGCCTGAATGCATGTACACTACAAGCATCAACTTTATCGCATCTTATATGGCATTTCAAAATTCTCAACAAAATCTTCTTCTAATATAAGCCTAGAAATGCCAGAATGCCTGCACTCTACACGCATCCAACACCATCAGCATCTTATATAGCATTTCAAGATTCTAAATAAATCTTCTTACCATGAATTGGTCAAACACACAAAATCATTGTAATAGCTTCAAATCATTAGTTATCCTCCAAATATATTTAGAAACACAACATTGATTCCATCAGCTAAAAAAGATAATTCATCCATAATCTCATCTATAGCCACAATAGCATTTGCTAAAAACTACAGAACAAAACAGAAAATCAATCTGCGTTGCCAGCCAATTGATTATGTTTTGGTTTTCAAGTTCAAACCAAATTGATTGTTAAACTAGAGATATATATTAATTAGCAATCCACCAGGGAAGCAAGGTATTAGTTTATACTAAAGCAGGCTGTTTTGCAATCCAAGTGCACAAAAAGCTAACAAACATAAAACATAAAACATCAGTTCACTATATAACAATCGAATAGGAATAAAAAGGGCTTAACTACAAAGAAAAATAGTGATTGAACATGCAATAACTCACTAGGAAGAAGGTTCAAATCCTTGTGCAACCCCCTGGACTGAGTGTTCTGAACCTGATCAATTGCCTCAGAAGTCTCCACCTGAGGAATTAAAGGCTTCTCATCTTCAACAGGAGTGATAGCTCTTTGCGCCAAAAGACTAAAACAACAACATTCCCATCTAGGGAGCCTCTCAAGATCCCAATTGCACCTCAAATCCACACATCTCCTTAACCCCAAATCTGACACACCTACATTAGAATGAGGCCTTAAAGGGCTAAACCATATGTGAGAAGCAGCCATTAAAAAGTGAAAAGAACTGCAAATTTCACAATGCAAATGCAAACCAAAAAAAAAAAAACCATACAAAACAAAACAACCCCTCCAACAAGGTTATTAAGAGAACATAAGAGAAGGGTTGTTGGTGATGGGGTTGTTGGAGGTGTGTTTTGGTGAAATCTATCTCCTACAACATTGTCAATGAAACTCAACTCTATGGACCCCACTAACCCAAGAAACAATATAAGCAAAACCCATAATTCAATGGTCTTTAAAACCAAAAAAGACGTAATCTTTTTCACTCGTTTTTGTCTTATAAATATAGTATGACACAGAATTGGTCTCTTTAAGGGATATTTAGTGAGGTAGGTGAGCCAGAAAGCTGGCTACACGGTTTCTCAGATTCTATAGAGACAAACAAATAATAAAAAAAAATAGGCACTAAACGAGACAGCTTTGAATGAGAAATTTTGAGTTAAATGTGTTTACCTGGCTTTCTCTAGCTTCAGTTATATTTGTATACTGTGATGTGCATTTACAAAGACTTAACCTTCTACAGGTATTAACAAAGAAGATGAAGAGAGAGCCGTCGTTTTATTTTGTGGGGCAGGCCTTATTTTTGTCCCTATAGATTCATCAATGTTTCACTTTTCTCCCTATATTTTAAATATTACCTGTGTAGTTTTCAAGAGATCAATAATACCCCTAATCATTAAATAGCTTTTTTTTTTAATTTAATTTTTTAGTATTCTTAGTATTTTTACGAAATATCCGATTTGAGAGGAAAGAATGAGAGCAAACAAGTAAAACTATTAGAATAATATGAAGAAACGTGAGTAGTTGATAGTTTGTTTAAGGGTTTTAATTAAAACTTTCGAGATTAGAGGATTGAGATTGGAAAAAATAAAACTATTATTGTAGGAGTGGAATATTGATAAGAGTATAAGGTTAAAAAAAAACAATAGATTACCTTCTTTTCCTTCAATATTTACTATCATTTTAAGTATTGTAGATATTTTAAGCCGTAATAATTAATTTTTTATAATTATAAATCAAAGTTACTAAATACAGTCAAACTCAACTCATGACTGCTTCAAAATAAAAATGATTTGCGAGGTGAAGTCCTAATTAGCCCTCTAGCAGATAGGTAATTCTAGATTCGTGAGGTGCTATCTTGTGTCATGGTATTAATTTGCTGTTCAATGTATAAATTTCTTTGAAAAGTAATTTTCTGAGAATATTCTGTACATTTAACTTTACTTAAAAACATATCTTATTAATTGATTCATCCATATCACTGTGGAAATGGGACAAATTGTTTTCTTTTTCTTAAAAAAATAATTTATGTTCATCATAGAGGCTTCATATAATAAAATTATCATGATTTTGTCAGATGGGATATCATGTTATTATCGACAGTTAAAATAGGAGAGTGCATCTCAAGTTAATTTTTTTATATATAAAATAAAGTTACCAACCACAGACATTTTGTCAAAGTTCAAAAGTTTTTCTTTTCTCTTTGTCAATCTGATGTTAAACCCCTCTAAATAATATTTTATTGAAAGCAGTATCTCAGATCAAAACTCTTGACCCTTTATATATACATGATTGATGAATTTTCTCCTTCTAGATGGCATGGTGAAGCTTCAACACATGAAGATTATGGGTTTGTTGTCACTGTTAATCCTCACCTGGCAGCAGGGCTGCACGGCCTGCAATAATCATACATTTCTGCAAACCTAAATGGCGAGGTTTGACTTCATGGAGAACAATCTCCCAAGTATGATGAGAAGGCAAGAGGACAAATGGATGACAGGGTAAACAAGGACGTTACTCATCTTCTTTACTCTCCACTGAGGTGGCTTCTTCTCCATTGAAACCCTGCTGCAGTCACTGGATTGGTGGAATGTTTGGGAAGTTGGTGAAAGATGGCCAGCTGACAATAACCAGTCAGCTAACTATAACAGAGTCGATAAAATAAATCAATAAATTATAATTATAATAGAGTGTTGGGAATGCGATTTCAAAAAACTATATGTGCTGTCTTAGGTAAAATAAATAAATGAATCTTAGTAATTGGTATTTGATTATTCAAAAATTTATAATAAACACCCAGTATTTTAATCATCATGATTCTTATCTGTAATCTAAGACTAACATACAAATATGTAATATCATGTAAACATCCTCCTATAACACCCACAAGTCAATGCTGAATTTAATGTTTTGACAACAACAAGGGAGAGCCGCTTTGAAGTTGTCGAATGGTACATTTGCAACTACTATAATTAAGGTTTATATAACAAGCTGATCAACTCCAATCTTTTTAGGATTTATTCTAAATTAAATATAATAAGAGTTAATTTAGTTAATTTTGATGGGCTCAGTCAAAATCTAATTTGATTTAAAAAATTAAAATAATATTGTTTTGGATTGATTCAGTAATAAAACTTAGCTTTGTATATAATATGATATATATATATATATATAATATGGTGAAAAAATTAATATATATATATATATATATAATATGGTGACAAAATTATAGTAAGTCAATTAGATTACTTTAATTATATCGAACCCTATATAGCATTTTTAAATCATTGGATTATTTACTGGTTTACAGGAAAAAGCTAAAACTAATCCTGGCAGCAACAACTGGGTTTTAATGAGGAAGAAAAACTCACCCTGCTTTTTCAGATCACATATTCCAGTTTCGTTATTTATTTTAAAAAACATGGGAAATATATGAAATATTTATTCTTGAAAATATTTTAAACTTGATTTAAATATTTATACGGTGGTGGTGATTTTTTAAAATACGTATGAGAGGTAGAGATAGAATGAAGATAAAAGACGCTTTGGAAGTTTAACCTTTCTTTCTAGACATGTGCCTTTATATTTTTTCTGAAACTTGCTCATCAATCTATAATATTTACTATTTTATAATTGTTTTAATTTAATTTTTAATACAATGATTTCCTTTACATTCATGCACTCACTCACTACAATAATATTTTTCAAGCTTAATGACTTTCATATATTTTTGCCTCCTTTATCTATAAATCCTAAATTTGCTATCTTTTATGAGTATTTAAGATGTAATACTTTTTAACATTTATAATATATGTATATTCATACTCTCTTTTTTTAATGCACGACTCGTATACATGTAATTTTATGTACATGTAATGTAGCAAAAACCCAAATCTTAAATGATCTACAATACACACACACCCTCCCTCCCACAGATTCTCCTGTGGATAGACCAGTAGACGAATCATGTTGTGGGATTATTGGCAGATAGGGTAAAAAATGATACAAATTTGATACAATCAAAGGAATTATCTAGATGACTGACTAATCGTAGTTGAATATCGATCTCCAAGCTAATTTTATTATTTAGGATGTTGCATAAGTGCTACACCTAACTAAATCTTAGTTTCTTGAGGAGGTAGGTGTTGAAAAGTTTATGGTAAAAAGTAGAAAAGTTTAGAACAGTTTCTCCAGGGAGAGTCATAGGAGGACCTCTTGCTAAGACGAAGAACGTAGAGACTGATGATTACAAGCTAGCTTTTCAACGTAGATTTCCAAAGATGGAAGTGACGCCCTTTTACCAGTTACGTTCATTGCATCTGTGGAGAGGACAATGTAGAGTATCATTTTCCTCTTCTCACATTGTGAGCTTCAAGGGATGTCTTGCACCTAATCTCTCTTCAGCTTAGGTAATTGATTGTCTATTATTTACTTAATCGTGACTTCTCTTGTTCTGTGCATGGCCGTGGGTGATTGTGGAGGTCGAGAGTCTCGTATTGGCTAAGTAATGTGCATGTGTTGATAGCATCATCGTGGTTTTGTTGAGTTTGTTCTCCTGGGTAAAAAGAATCTTCAAGTTGGCAGCATCCCCACTCACCATGGTAATCCACCAACCCAATCACGGGTTTTGACTAGATTTTAAATTAAATTTTATGGTGATTGATGATTTACTCAGCCAAACAAACCTAATTAATTTGGTTAAAATCCAATTAAAATATGATTTGATTTAAAATAATAATTTAAAAAGACAATATCATTTTAACTTTCTAATAATTAAAAATATGGTAAAAAAACATTATTTTGAATTGATTCAAACTAATCTATGATTTAACTCTTAAATTGAGTCATGAATCAAGTTGGATTTAATAACTTTGATTTATTAATAATATTAATCTACCCACTATTTATTATATATTTGATATTGTGATAGTTTTTAAAATTATAATTTAAAAATATATGTTTAAAAAAGCTACAAATTGTAGTTTTATCTTAACTAATATTTTAAAAGGAGTTTTCAACGAGATCATGTAAACTATAATATATATTAATTAATAGTTTTTAAAACTATAATTATGATACTACATGGTTTCAACCATGTAATTATGATAGTACATAGTTTCAAACACATCACAGTATGCTCTGAACCGACCCTTAATATGGTGTGAGCTATTGAAGGCCAAAAGTCTCACGCAACTACAGAAATTGTGTGTTTGTTTACATGAGTAATCATGTTTTGGCAAAATTTTACAGGAAAAGAATTCACTTTTTCTTCAAGAAGTGTATTTTCTTTAGTTGGAGTGCCAATAATATATCATAGCATCTCTCTAATAAAAGACTAAATAGATAAGAATTGTGAAGATTTAAAGAAGGAAAACAAAAAAAAAATCACCAGTAAAATTGAACTGTATAAAATTAACTTGTATGTATAAACTACAAGTATCTTGTTTATCTATGGAGTTTGTTGCGTTTCAAGTTTTTTTTTTAAAAAAAAAACATTATTTTTTTTTTATGTTTTTTGGTATTTGAAATATAGTTTTGCTCGTGTAAACAAACAGCCTGAAGTCAATTATTATGTGGCAAGAGCTTTAGTCCAACCCTAAAATTACAAATAAGAAACATGAAATTTCCTGCTAAAAGTATTAAATAACAGCTTAAATTCAACAGATAAGTACATGTTAAATGAATATTGGTTTTATGTGCCCTAGCTAGATCATAAGCGAGGAAAATCTAGCTCCAACAGGAAATTATGTCATAGGAATTGGATGACCTTTTTTAGCCTTGCTCTTCTCCAAGGACTTGTCCTCTTTGTCGAATCTGCTTTCAGCACTTCCTTCTCCTTCAAATGCAATCCTGCTAGAATCCGAGAAGCAACTAAAGAAACCAAATAACAAAGACATTGATAAGTTGCTGGATGTCAAGCTCTCAAACTTTGTATAGATTGAATTTTTTTTATTTATATAAATATTCAGATCAGTTTACACACACCACAATTAATCTTATAACCCATTGAATATTTTATAAATCAAATAAATATATAAGATATCGCGGGGATGATAGATATATATAATAAAATTCAAACTCGAATACAAAAAAAAAAAAAACAAGTATCTCTCATCGTCTAAAACCTTAAATGCAGATTGAATTCTTTATTGCAAGGGTGTGTGTGTAGCATTTCTTCATTTATATACATGCTAGAATTCTTGGCAAGTAATTGTCCTAATTTATGTGGCAGTTGCTAGATATTTATAGAAGAGAAGGCATTAGACAGAAGTATTATTAAACTTGCCCTCAACGCGGAGTTAAACTTAAAATCTGGCTTAGTTTGTTTTTTAAAAAAATCATGTGAGAATTAATCTAGTTAAACCTAATTAAAATCTAGCTTTACTTTTCAAAAAAAAAAAACTCTTAAAACAACAATGTTATTTAAATTAATCCAAATTAACTAATCTAATTTGTAACCCAGCTTTCAAGTTGGATCATGAACTTATCTGATTTTAATAATTTAGCTTTTAAGTTGGATTATCAATCAAGTCTGATTTCATCATTAGTTATTTTCTTGAACCCATGTGTTAAATTATATGTTGGGTTAAGAGGTGACAAGGAAAGAAATATTTCATATTTGGCAGTGTATTGCCCTAGCTATGGTCCATTCGAGTGTGGTCGAAATTTCATTTTCACATGGTTTCCATGAGGATCAAGATACTTTGCATGAAAAATTGACAATATTAACTCATTGTGTCAAGAATTTCGTTTCCATGGTTTTGGATTGATCTCTACAAGGGCCAGAGATAATTGTTTGTCTTTGTGCTCATTACAAGGCCCATTTTTTATGCTGAATGTTAGGACTCCAAATATATTTTTGGACCTAAACAAAACACCCGTAGGCTCTAAAAAATAATTAAAGGGCCTAATCTGATGCCTTGAGAAAACATATAAAATTTCTTGTGTTCATTAAAGAAAAAATGTCTTGCTTTTTATTTCAATATTTTGTTAAAAAAAAACTTTTCTTCTAACGAACGGCCTGGATTTTCAAGCCTTGTAAATTAAGAATAAAATAAAAGATACCTTCTAATTATTTCTTGTAAATTGAATGCTAGTTAAATCCTTACGTATCTAGTGAGATTTTCTAACACTCTGTGATCTATAAAAGGGCAAGTGGTCTTATAATTCTAGCTAGGAAATAAATTGAATTCATAATGGTTTTGATTTGCTTGAAAAACCCTTTTCTTTTGCTCATCCTTGTGTTGAATTTGTTGCTGATAGCTTTCTTGAGGAGAAAATGGATCCTCCCATGGAGGCTTACAGACGAAAAAAATCAAGGGAGCTCTTTACTTGGATGGGCTGAGATTGCTTTTGGGGTGTTTTCTTCTACATTGAAGCCCGTCTCTTTTGCTCATGTTCTTGTTAAATAAGATTTGATAATATTAATAATACACTTAAGTATAGACATCATAAATGGTTTCTTATATATTTGGGATATGCCATTGCACATATATATTTTTTATGATAATTTCTAATATTACATTTATGAAATAGCTACACACTCTTAAGGATACTCTAGTTCATTTAGACAGTATAGATAGTAAACTATATAAAGGGTCTAAAGCTATCCAATTTCATTATGCTTTTATTCTCGTAAATACAAGAAAATAAATAAATCCAAATATTGGAGGAAAGATGTATTGTTACTGAAAACCTTTTTATTTACTCTTACAAACTCTTTTTGACAAATATTTTGGAAAGGATTGATTTTATATTAACTGATAGACATATGTATCCAAGTGGACTTTACAGGCTCCCAGGCCCCTTCCCGCCCTGGGGCAGCTCCCCCTGCAGAGACCTGGCCGAAGCTAGCCACACCACCTAGCTATTTTGTAATTGTGGCTTGCAGGGACATCGAGGCTCTCCAAATTGGCAATTTCTTTTTCTTTTTTTTTTTAACAATGAATATAAAGGCCAGGTTACACACACCTTGACTATAGTTTTGGTACCAATTTTGTATCGTATGTGTTGAATTACATCTCTCATGATGCTAAATTAGCGATTTTGTATCATATATGTGTTGGTCCTAATGCCTGAAGGGAATGGCAAATCTCCAAGATGCAACATTGACGTAGGTTGCTGGGAATACACAGCGTTAATCGACGACTCAAATCTCATCATCATTGCAGGCCATCTCACCTAGAAACTCAGGAAAAAATAGTTAAGAGCTGTGTGTGTGGGGCATGTAAGGAAGTGAAATCCTTCATGGTTTGGTCTTGGTTGATGCAGACATGTTTCACTCTTGTTGATTGCTTAATGTCAGCACAAAGGAAATGCTTAGAGACTGCTCTTTTTTCACTTAACCCCATCAGTCATTTTAGACTTGCGTCCTCCAGATTTGATTAAGATCTTGTTAGCTGTCCACTGTTTTAAGCTTTAGTTTATTAAGGAATTGTGCACTTACTGTTCTAATCTGAAGATTAGTCAACTTGATTAGTAGCAAGGTCACCATCCACAGAATGACACCTCATCGTCCACTCTGTTTTTGCTGCCATTGTCTACAGAATTCAACCACATTTCCTTGGTAACATGCTCTTGCTCAATAAAGATTGGACAAGGTAGAGACAACATCAACATAATTTTCAAATCCTGTTCCAGTCACTTTTTCCCTTCATTATAATCTCAGTTACTTGTGAGCAAAAGCTTGAGCAAAATCATTATGTTCTATACTGATTAAAGCAATAAGCTTGCCTTCTTCAAATCAAAACAAATTAATGTTGCATTCATACTGCATTATTATCATATACGTAAACAATTTTATAAGACAAGATTCGAGGGTTAATTTAGCTCAAGACTTGAGTTGTAGATGTAGTAGTTAACTTAGAACAATATATATTTGTTCTTTAAAAAAACCATGTAGTAGTTAACTTGGATCAATATATATTTTTTCTTTTAAAAAAACCATTAACGGGACCGAGTCAAACCCTAAATCTCGATAAATCCATCCTGCCAGGGCCCTCTTATAACCATGCTTATAAACATGGGATTGTCTTCGCATTTGTACCACATTAATTTACTAGAAAATCAATGAAGAGTTTGTTGTTTCTGATCTCTAATAATTAACGGCCAGCTCCTGTCATTTCTGAACAAGCTCAACATGCCCCATTATTTTTCCTGAGAGGAAAGGATCAAGGAGCAATTGCTTTCACATTTACAGCTATCAATGATTGTGATGATTTCTAATAATGGAAGAATGTCTGTTCCTCTCATTTCCAGTCTTCATCGAGGAATTTCCAGCTCCCAAGTGGATGTCAAGGATCTGGCTTCCCAATGAACAAAACCAGACGCCAAAAAAAAAAAAATTCAAAGCCAACCAGCATCTTCTCCACCTTAGCTCAAGAACATAAAAGAACGAAAAAGCAATTGATGGCGAAACCAGCATGATCTAATTCACTAAATGAAGCAATAAAATTTTTTAAAAAAATCTAGGCATTAGTTTACCTTCTAATCACTGTGTTGTCAGACCCATCATTGACCACACAAATCAAGGGCTCAATATGATTCCATTTATATTTGCAAGCTCAAATTACATGAATGCAGTTAATTAATCATCACCAACCATCTACTTTCTTATCTTTGCCCTAAATGAATTTCCTCATTGTGTCTTTTGCTCATTCGCTACTTAGATTTCCTGACAGACTTGGATTTCTTCATTTTGCTAGACTTGTCATCAACACTTGTCCATGTATATCCACTTGGTATAGCAAAAGGGTCAGCTTGCTGCTGCAGCCGCCCCACTGAAGAACCATGTCGGTGGTGGTGCTTGCTCGCAGACTGGCTGCTGTTTCGCCGCAACCATGAGGTCGAAGTTGAAGACGAAGACAACGGTAATGATGAATAAAGTGTGTCTGATTTTTTATCATCATCTGATATTCCTGCTCTACTTCCTACAAGACCACCAAAATGTCTTGGACTTGAAAGTGGAGTGTAGAATTGTTCAGTTGGTGGTAACTCGACAAATTTAGTGAATGTTATCACCACCCTCACTGTCGGGACCACCGGGATCGCCACCTGCATCCACCAAAACACACCACCACCACCGCTACCGTTAACAAATATATATACCAGATCAAATAAATAAAAACCCCATCATGCATGTGAAAAGTAAAATCACTCGGCCCCTCTCTCAAGCACAAGATATTGCCACTTTAGCATCTGATCAATCCCAGATGACGTGGCAGAATCGGGGCGATACTATTGTTTTCTAGTCAAGAAAAGAAACAGACAAACATGGGACCCATAGGGCTTAAGCTCCATACCCTGCTTACAAGAGAAGGAAAACCTCGGATCTTTAGGGTCCCACCCACCATCACCGTCGATTAAAAAAAAAACCAATCACAACATCCCACGTCACATCACCGACCGCTAAAAAGCCCCAACCCCACCTCACAAAAGTTCCCTCCTCTGCTACTAATCAGACAAGAGAGACTCCTTTTCTTTTCCTTAGCTTACGCCAAGAGCACAATGGGCCGCGCAGAATTCCTCAACCCCGGGGTCCCGCATATCCCCATACTTATAGATTAAACGACAACTAAGTCATATCCAAAACCATCAAAACGACAGCGGCACCAAAATTTATTTATCAGACACTTAATTACCACAGTAATCCTTTTCCAAGTTCATTAAAGGTCAAAAACAAAAAACAAAAAGGCCCCACAAAACCACTTGAAACGACAGAATTCAATAGTCAAACAAAACTCAAAACGACACCCAAAACACTAATCCCAAAATCCGCTATTGACTAATTAATGTAATTAATTTACCTTAACCGGAAAAGTTCCCGCCGGGAATTTAGTGGTGAGCAATTCACGCATTCTCCTCACAGCTTTGACTTTATTCGCTAAGATATCAAGTAACGGCAATAGCTCCTCAATCTTTAGCGGAAATTGTTCCGTTAACCAAACTGACGGCTTCAAACTCCTCACATACTCTTTCTCCTTCACTTTTTCGGGCACCGCCACCACCCTCCTCCTCTCCGCCACCGTAGAGGACGGATAAATATCCACACTTTTCCTCCCTACACTCACAAACTCCCTCTCCTCCCTCACAAAACTGCTATGCCTCCTTTTACTCTCATTTCCGTTATTAAATTCAAAATTAAGGAAGCTAGGATTTTCAGCCACTAAAAAGCCGTCACCATCTTCATCAAGCTCTAACGGCAAAACTTGCTCGCTTCCTGCGACGTCGTTTTCGCTTACTTTACGAGATCGAAAGCTGAAAACGACGTTGTTTAATTCGTAAACTTTAGCTTTCCATTCGCCAACAGATTCTGTTTTCTCTTGTCGTCGCCAATTCGTTCGGCTTATTAATTCGGCTTTAGTGACATCCATCCCGGGACGGTAAACGCTCGTTTGGGAACAGAATCCGGCGATATCAGACTCGCTCATCGGAGATCCCGCTGATTCGAATGCATCGAAGATTTTACGTTCATCATGGTTAAGAACTAAGAGAGAACCGGGAGGAATGGAGTGAGTTTGTTCACCGTCGCCGAGGAAGAGGAAGCTTTGATCGGCGCGCTGGATTTTCAAGCCGTCGAAGCCGGCTAAGGTAGTATCGGCTCGGAGATTAGCGTCACGTTTCCAGATCTTGTACGTGTCCGATGGTGCGAGTTTGTTTACAAAAGGAATGACTGAGCTTTCAAAGTGGAAGGAAATTTCCATGTAGAAGTCGCGCATTCGGCGAAGGACGGCAGTGAGACGAGGCAAGCGGCGTCGCCACTTGGACCAGGCGGAGCGGTGGTGGAGACGGAGAAGAATGAGAGCGATTTCCGAGTACCGGCGACATAATGCCTCCTGGAGGGGGTTCCAACCAGCGGAGTTCTGTAACGACACGTCAGCTCCAGCAGCTGCAAGGGCTTTGGCGGCGAAGAGGTCGTTTAAGCGGACAGCAAGGTGGAGAGGCGTTTCACGGTAAGGGACATCACGGCGGTCGACGAGAGAGGATATTTTGTCGACAAGTTGTTCTTGACTCAGCGAGTCAGACTCCGTGTGGATTTTGGTGGGATCGGTGAGTCTGGGGAGAGTGGAGAGGAGGCGTGTGAGGGTTGTGTGGTCCCCCAGCACGACGGCGTAGTGGACTGGACTGTGAGAGTAGGATTCTGGTTTTATTGAAGGAGACGGTGTCGTTGATGCTGAAGAAGACGACGTTGAGGTGGATTTGGACATTGCTTAGCTTAGTTTAGTTTTGGTCTTGTCCGAGAGAGAAAAAAATTAAGAGAGTTAGGGAGGGGACAGGCAATGATTTTGAAGAGGGATGGAAGGAGACACTTATGCTTGTTTTGTGTCTTATTTCTTACTGAATGATATGAGAAAAGGAAAGGGTATAATTGTCTTAAAAAAAATTAAGAGAAAAGTATTTATCACAAATATATCAATTTTATTGCTATGAAAATAAAATACAAATTAAATTCAAGAATTTAGGTATATTAAGATGTTATTCTAAATCATGGTCATGAGAAATTAGATACATTTTTAATATTATTTATAATTATTAAATATTTAAAATATATTAATATTAAAATCATAAATACTAAATCTAGTTTGTTTCCGTGATCAATCTAATAAATTATTAATTTAAAATTTATTTTAATTTAATTTTAAATCTAACATGTTAAACTACGTTAACTTGAATTAATTAAAATTTAATTTTATTTAAAAAATTATATTAAAATAATATAATTTTAATTTAAAAAATTAAAATGATTTTGGTTTAATAACTTTAGGTGAGATAATGACATTCATAAAATATAAAATCTATGATCAAAATTGCATGATATATATTGATATTTAATATGAATGATTTAATTTAAAAAAATATTATTAAATAATTAGAAAAAGAAAAATTGTATGATGGAGATTAAATTTTATTTTTGATGGATCTCAAAAGAGTTTAAAAGAGCTTGTAATTTTTTTTTAATTCAATATTCTTGAAATTCCATTTTTCAACTTCAAATGGTAAGGTTTAAGGATGTGTTGTATAGGTGCATGGCTGCTTTGGTCATCCAACATATATAATTTAATATTTTTATTATATTTTATTTTATTTTCCTTCCCGATGATCTTATATAACGAATATACGTGATCTGATGATGGCTTGGGATTGGATAGAATTGTCTTTTAGAATGTTTTTTATTATTATTATGTTTTATGGGAGACTGTGTAAAAGAGAAGAGGGGAGATGGAGAGATACGCGCAATCTTGTCTTGGCTCGGCTTTTCTTGATTCTCTCTTGCCTGGCAGGAGACAGAGAGAGCAGCAGCAGGAACTCGTGGATGTTTTCTTTACTTGTCAGTGATCCTATCGACTCTCTTTTGCCTTTGGTTTTTCATGTCTTTTTTATTTTATTTTATTTTTTTCCAGTGTGGGGGTGATGATTTTTGACCCAATGATTGAGCATGGTTGTCAGGATTTGTTGAGAAGAAATTAAGAATATAGATTATTGGATTAATTTATTAAATAATTTTTTTTTATTTTTAGATTTCTTTTGGTGTTCTTGCAACGGGTTTGGATGAGTTAATTAAATTTTATTATATCCATATATTGTTTGGGTTAATTAAAAACTTAACCTACAGAAGTCATGATCTAATGGTAAAAGATGTTTTGATTTTTAAACAGAACATGAAATTGTTTGTAAGGAAAATGGAACTGTCTGGTTTTTTTTTTAAAAGGAAAATGGAACTGTCTGGTTTTTTTTTTTTTTAAAAAAAAGAGCCTTTATGTGGCCAAGTTTTGTGTACTAAATCATGTATTGGGACAATGCGATATAATTTACTAAATACTAACACAAAGTTCTTGCAGCATGGTATAAAGCATCTAGACATTTAAAATTGTGAAAAATCCAATTCATAATTTAAAAAAAATATATATTAAACATTACTGAAACTATTGTTTCATTTGAACTGTACGTAGTAATAGATTCTATTAACATATGAAGATGAAGAACAATATAAATGATGAGTGCATGATCTGACTTTTTGTATTTCATAAAGACATAGAGGAGCTGATGATTCAATCAAAATTTATATTAACCTGTTATCTAATTAATTCAATTAATAGATTTTTTAAATAAATATTTACTCAATCTAATCTATTAAATTTTGACTTGAATATTATACCAAATTATCTCTAAATTAAATTTAATAATTATAAATAACATGATTGTATATCATAAAACAATAAAAAAAGTTGATTCTACATGATTCAATCAAAATTTAGATTAATTTGTGATTCAATTAATTTAATTAATTAATTTTTTAAAAGAAATATTTACTCGAGCTAATTGATTGGTTCTTGACTTGGTTCTTATACCAAGTTATTTCTAAATCAAATTTAATAATTATTAATAACATGATTGTATTTCATAAAAAAACAAAATATAGAAAAAGTTGAACATGCATGATCCAATCAAAACCTAGGTTAATTTGTGATTCAAATAATTGATTTTTTAAAAGAAATATTTACTCAAGCTAATTTAGTGATTCTTGACTTAAATCCTACACCAAGTTCCGTCAATTGAATTTAGGTTCACTAGGGATCTAATTAATTTAATTAATTGGTTTTTTAAAAGAAATATTTACTCAAGCTAATCTATCGATTCTTAACTGGAATGATCCTATAGCAAGTTATTTCTAAATCGAATTTAATAATTATGAATAATATTCATTCATTAACTTTATTTTTAAATCAATAGATGGATAATTGAGTTAACTTAGAATTTTGTCATAATTTTATTTTTATATTCAATATTAATTAATATTATTTAATTAAAATCACACACAGATCTTGGTATCTACACAACTAACAGTAGCAGTGCTAATAAACAATAATGAGATCGGTAGCCTGGAATATGAATGATGGGCAAGACAACAGTAAGAACACAATTAAGGGCAGCAAAAAGAGAAGGGATGAGGAGGTGTCCCTTTGTAAGTGGGCATCTCGTACTTAATCAAATTGACTAATCTTGATTTAATGACTGTAATTGGACAATCTGTGTGTTAAACTAAAGCCAAAACTAGTGCTGGTCTTGGATTACGCTGGTCTGAAATGATTAGTAGGGTTAAGTGGAAAAAGAACAGTCTCAAAGCATTCCTTTGTCGTGACCATAAGCAACAAACGACAGGGAAACCTGTCTGCATTAACCTAGACCAAATCCTAACGTATTTCACTCCCTTTCATGCCATACAATGCAAAGGAAACCAGAGCCAGCTACAGGCCATTTTTGGCTCAAGTTTCTTATTTCTTCTTGGGCCCTTCACGTTCCTTTCTTCGTACAATATGGTTGATTAATTTGGGATTCCATTTTTCTGTCATATCTTCATGGCTTGCAATTTGCTTTGACCTAATTATCCAAATAATGCCACCCCATTCCTCTTATAGTTTTGGCAGAATGGCCCACGATAACACATAGCTGGCAAATAATGTTGGACTTACCAGACCGCCGTTTATTACCATGGCGGCTAGGATTTGAGCGTGGATTTCCAGAATAACCTGTGTTTGGGTGGCGGTGAGGGTATGATTTGGAGGGAACATTGCGGGGCGCAGAATTGAACTGGAAGCCTCAATGCGTTTCAAGTAGCTTTCATGGCCAACCAGCATGTCATGTAGTTCTTCAAACGTAGGATTGTGGGCATCGCTAATGACGGATAAACAGTGGTGCTGTCCAGAGATAGCCCTGAAGGTCGTTACCGATGAGCAAGGACATCAATTGAGCACGACGCGAAGGAAAGTTGGAGGGTGTCAGTTCCAGGGGAACCGGAGAACCGGCAAGGTGAGTGTCGATGCTGCTATACAGAAGATTTCTCCGGGATGTGTTTTTGATAAGTAGATGTCCTATTTATAAGGACTGTACAAGATGTTGTTGATACAAATTCAAATACAGGAGAACTACTCTGTTAACTTAAAAAGAAGATCCTAGGATATATAAGAAATTTACAGGAGATAGTTAAGATATTACCATTTTGATAAGAAATCTAATGGTTACAACCTTTTTATTTCCTTCGTATATCATACCTTAATTGACTGTTTTCCATATGAAGATATAGGTCATGGTGTTATCGAGTCAACTGTTGAATTACAAGATCATCAAGTGTTAATTATTTTTATTAAAATAATAATGTTTAGTTTTATTAATTAATTAAGTGTTGAACTTTCGAATTTGAATCAGGTTTGATTAAATTCCCAACAACTTAATTAAAAGGGTTTGACGAGTTAAATATTTTATCTAACTTAATTTGAAACTTAATACAAGTGAATCTTTGAATTTTGAAATTTCTAAATCACTTTATTCACTAGCCATGATTATTATATCTAAGGGATCCTTTTGTTCTAGAAAAAGTTTCTTGGTCCTAGCATTTTCCTCATATAGCATTTTCATCCCATGAAAAGTTCTAAACCACTTCACTCGCTGGATTTGTTAGCATCCATATATCCTTTAGTTTTGACAGAGTTTATATTTATATGCAATAATGGTATCACAGTATCACTGTTCAAATTGTGTTAATCTTTTTACTGAAATGATAAACATATCATGACATTACATTTTATTTTATTTTAGTACCCAAATCACATAAATCATAAACTTTTAGTATATCTCGATTTATTCAATTTTAAAATTTTTTCACACTAGTTAGTTGTCTTTATCATCCAAAATTTAAGGTAGAAAATGATAACGCCAAGCAACATTAATAATCATCATTTCCTTCAATGGAAGGTCCACTAGATTAAATAGTATCTAATATAAAATATTACCATAATAATCTAATTAATAGTATATGCCTTAAATATATTGTTTTAAATTATGGATTATCATAAAATTTAAGGTGATGGTTGAAGGACTCTAAATACTTATTTTAGAAATATATAATTCTTTAAAAAAAATGTATGTGATCTTTTTAGTGATATATGCATCAATATTAAAGGTACATGCTTGATCCTCTTAATATTATATGCATCATTTTTCAAGAGATAGACGCAATCTTCAAAGAATGGATGTAATCTCCCTAATGTTATAGTGCTAACCAGATCCAGCCTTGAGTGGACTTGACAATGTGTCAAGTTTAATCCCAAATGAGCTTAAGTCTATCATAACCTGCAATGAATGGAATACAGGTTACAATGTAATTCAAAATATCACAATGATAACTTTATACTCCAGCCCCTTTTAATCACACAATGACTCAACTTATGAGTTATAAATATACTATGAGACCTTTAGAATAACGGTTGACAATCTTTATTTTCTAATGCATATATATTTTGAAAGCATCTCTCTCTAGAGTATTATGGTGTTTT